CTGGTCTGTCACTTCTATAGGCAACCTCCCGGCCCCTTGCCCCCGGGTCTTTGCAGTACAAATACCCCCATTCTCTGGCCCTCAGGGTTTGCTCCTATCCCTGGCTTGCTGCTTAGCTAAGCTGTCCAGACCCTTGGATTTGTCTCTGCCCCAACTCAGGGCCCTTTAGCCCCCGTTGTTCAGATCTTATTGCTTTTTTTTGCCTGCTCTACATCCTGCCCACTGTCCTGTTCCTTGTGGCCCAACTAGGAAACCTGTGCGCTGGACTGCGTTGCTGTATTTGGTGTCGGTCCTAGAACACAGGTGGCCATAAATGGCACACAGGCCAATCCTCTTTCTAAGAGTCTGCTGAATAAATACTAGTGCTGTGGTCCCAGCAAGTCACTGAGATGCAGAGTGCTGGGCTAGATGGACCCGTGGTCCAAGCCAGTATAGCGTCTCTTTTGATTCTTGTGTTATTTAGCTCGGTGCGCTATCACCAGCTCCAGCAGTTAAATAATCTCGAGTTGAGATCTGCTTCCTTGGCTGCATAGAAACCAGAGGGAGTAGTGGCTGGTGCTGATTGCATCTAGATGTAGCACTTGCTGGAGCTGAGTTAGCTGCCCTGCACTGCTCCACTGACAACCCACAGCTGAGCCCCTAGATCTTGGAGCTGTTGTTGAAAGGTTCCTGGTAAGCCTGTCCGTATTTGGCCCTTGGGTATTGCAGGAGCTCTTGCCCTCGCCTCGGAGCTCTCTCCCACCTGGCAGTGATGTTGGGGGACAGATGCCATTCAGGGCCCTGCACCCCTAGAGCTGAGGGGGGAGGGGTGGAGCCAGGAGGCAGATTTCACTGCTGGCTAAAAGCTGCAAGACTTGTTGGTTGGGAGGCAGAGGTGATGGGAGCAGTACTTAGATTTTCTTTATACATAAATAAGCCAGGAGCTGGCTGACCTGAACCTGAGGAGAGGTGATCAGCGCTGATAAGCAAGTCTGTTCCACCTGTCCCAGCTGGTGGCAGGTGCGAGCTGGGGGTTGGGCCCAGCTGGCACCTGCCTTGCCCTTAAAAGCATTGCTTACTGTGGCTGGCTGCTGCTGCTCTCATTGCCCAAGGGGTGCCTCTGGCTCTCTCTCCTTCCTGCTCCCTGTGGGGGCAGTGGCTGTCTCCCCCGTTCCTACAGCATGCCCTGCAGACCTCAGCACCATGTATGAAGTGCTGGTTACTGGCCTGTGCTGCGTGAATGACAAGATCACGAGTCCAGACAGAGGGTATGGCAGCTGGGTGTCCTGTCTCTGAGTTGGGTTTGCTCCTACATGGGGTTAGCTGGGGCTGTTCTCCCCGGTGCCTAGGACCCTCCTGCAAGCCTTGTTTGCAGGGAGGTAGGAAGAGCTGAGTGCATGGATGGGGGAGTTATTCCCCACTGTCTGCTCTGAGGCCTGCCTGGCAGCATCAGGGCTCATCTCTCTCCCCCTTCTAGTTGGGCTGCAGTTTTCCCTAGTTCTGCCAGGTGCCAGTGCTGCACCTGCTGCTGTGGTGCTGATCCACACCATCGATAGCAGGAGCCTCAAGTCAGGGCTGAGGGCACCAGCAGAGCTGGGGGGAGGAGGGGGAGAGCTGGGACTGCAGTAGGAATAGGGCTGTGGGTTGGGGCTGAGGGGTGCTGGCAGGGCTGCTGGCTCAGCTCCACCCATGCTACACCTGGGTCCAGTCTGCACTGACTGCCTCTCCCACTGGCAGGCATGTTGACTTCTGCCCTGCCTCCTTTGAGTGCTAGGAAGTCTCCCTCCATCTGCCAGGGCAGGCTGTGCACCTTGGGTAGTATAGTGGGCATGACTCCCACCCAGCCTGCTCTACACCCCCTTAGCCCTTGTGAAAGCAGTCTGCAGTGCAAGGTGACAGAGCAGGTCAAGACCCAGGGGCCCTGACAGGCTGGTGGCTATGGGGGTGTTGCTGTAGTGCAGATGCTGGGAGCCTAGGCCTGGGGCTCGGTTTTGCCATTTGAAAGGCCATTGATCTCACTGTGCGAATGCTATGCTTGAAATCTGCAACAACAGCCTCCCCACCCAGCCCTGCCCAGCCCAGGGCTGCAGGGACACTGGCCCCAGTGTACACATTAGGCAGGGCTGGCAGAGGGCACAGACCCTGAATGTTTTGCAGTAACAGTGACACAATTGTGAGAGCAAGTAAACAAGGGGAGGGAGGGATGACCGGGACTGAGGCTGGGGACAGAGGTGCTGGGCTGCTGCCAAGGGAAACAATGGTAAGGGGGAGCAAATGTGGGGCATGCTGGGCCCTGCCATAGGTGGGCAGGGTGTGCAGGCTAGGATGCAGGGCCAGACGTGTGAGAGGGTAGATGTTAGTTGGGGACCACACTGGCCTACCCCTCTCCATGCACTCCTATCCTTGATCAATGCTGGCAATGCTCATAGTCCCTTGCTTTGACTCTGTGACCCTGCCCTCCACTCTCTTGCCGTTTGTTCTGTCCTTGTCCCCTGAATTTAGCTGCTCCCTGTCTTTCTTTTGGCCACTCATGAAGAGAAGGTGCCTCCACCCAGTACTTATGGACGAGATGGGTGTGAGGCACTGGACTGGGTTGCAAGCTGCTTCTCTCTGGTCTTGTTCCAGCTATCTTCCTCCAGTGTGGATTACCTTGTCCTGGGCCCCCAACTTTGGAGCAAGATAGTAAAGCAGAGGTCACCCCACAGTCTTGCCAGCCACATAGTAGGTCCCCTGGCATTAGCTCCCTTTGACAGAGGGCTTGCTGCGAGACTCCTTGCTCTTCTTGTACACCCTCCAAGACATGGGCACTGGACGAGTGTTGCCACAGTATGAAGGAGCCAAAAGGTTGGGTATGTTGGGTGTAGGTGCTTCCCCTTCCCATGGGATAGAGCAGTCTGCCTTGGGACCCCTTCACTCCAGCAGTAGCAGCACAAATACTGTTGTGAAGCCCAGCCGCTCCATTTGCTAGGGACATGTCCTTAGGACAGGGTGGGCAAAATGTGGCCCGGGGGCCAGATGTGGCCCACCAGGCCATTCTATCTGGCTTGTGGGGCCCCTAAAAAATTTAGAAAATTAATATTTATATGCCCCTGGCTGCCTATCATGTGGCCCTCGATGGCTTGCCAAAACTCACTAAGTGGCCCTCTGCCCAAAATAATTGCCTGCCCCTGCGTTGGGAGCTCCATTCCATAGTGGATGTCTGGGTAAACCTCAGGCTGTGTTCAGTGACTGTTCACACCCTGGACAGAGATCTCGCAGGGGAACTCTTCAGAGCAGTCTGTTATGAGAACAGTTGTAAAGCTCAGTGTGCTGCCTTCATGTCCCAGATCAGCCCATGGTGCTGGGAGCTGAGATTTGGCACTAGCCATGAGGGCCTCTGCATGGGAAGGCTGATCAAGGGACCAGAATGGGACCTTGGGGCCTTGGCATTGGCTTGCTGTTGTTGCAGTATATTCCCATAATAACCTTTACTCTGCCCGTGTTGGACTGCACTGTTTTTCACTGTAACTATCACTGTAGTTGAGTGGATGACTAAATCTCGGTGCCAGATGGATTAAATCAGTATTTTTTTTGTGTGGGCCTGGGAGTGGGTGTGGAGGAGGAAATATAATGTCTGAAATAGAAAGTGATCTCTAAAGTTAATCATAGCCGTGTGTCAGATGCTCTGTGTTTTTTCATTTTTCTGCATGCTCCTGAAACTTGCCTAATAAGACAGAAGGACCCTCTGTGGAGTAATAGCTATGTATTATTACAGTGTCTTCTGTCCTGCTTGTACTTTGGGTGAGCCTGTGTCTTGGATAAATTGCAGAAATGTCATTGCTGGGGATGTAATTATTCAGAAAGAGTCTAGATGTCATTAAGCATAGAACTATATTTAAGGGGACTGGAAAGCCAATTTTGTACCTGCTGGGGCCAGAGTTAAGGATGCTGGTGGGCTGTGATCCTGTAATTGTCCTTCTGTGTACAGTGATGTTCAGTGTAGACCCCAGCTCCCCCCATCGAGGGCCACATGGACACCCTCAGAATAACCTCCTAAGTGAGGCTTTGCTGGAAAGGGTCATGTTTATCCAGTGAAATGTTGAGCTATTGAGATTGAGGTGCTGAGTGCCCTGATCTCCCACTGACTTTTAATAGTTGTGGCTGCTGAGTACTAATTAGGGCTAAGCCCTTGTAGGGGAGGAAGGAGGAGAGAGAAGACGAGATCACACAGGGAGAGAGAAGAGAAGTGAAGTGAAGTCTCTCTTCTGGATGGGAGGGAAGGGGGAATTTAGTGTCCCCAGCTCCTTGGATGTGCTGCCACCCCAGGGAAGCTTGGATCCAGATCTCTGCACCCTGTGGGTTGGGCCTCAGTCCTGCTGATCTCTGCTTCTTGACCCTGGTGTGGCTTTCTTTCCACGTTGGCAATCCACATCTCTTTCCCATGCCTTTTCTCACTGACTGAGTGGCTGACCATGGCTCCCTGCAGCTTAATGCCCCTCACTTCTGACCCTCCAAAAACTGATCATAAGAATTGCTATTTACTGGGTCAGACCATAGGTCCATCTTGCCTATTGTCCTGTGTCACAGTAGCAGAGAGTAGATCCTGAAAGGGAGAGTGAACTGGGTATGACCAGGGCTTTTTTTTTTCCCACTGGTCCTCTCTTATTTGTAGCCTCCAGCATTTTAAGGTGTAAGAAGTTCCCATTTGGAGGTCTCCATGCTCTGACTCTATGCATGAGCTGCCTCCCCTGACCTGGGGTTGTCAGACAACACAGGTTAGTTGCCCACAAATGATTGTCAAAGAACTTGTCACTGCTGGGGGAACCTATGCCATGCACAGTCTAGGCTGGGGAGCCTAGGGGACGAAGCGGGTACCTCTGTCCAGTCACTGCTCTTAGTGCAGTGGGTAAAAAGTGAGTGGCAGTGATGGCATTGGCTGTGCTTGGCCAGATCCTTGCGCTAGGGTGCATTGCAGTGCTCAGGGAAGTGTGCCTGGAATGTGAATGTGGGTGGGGGGGTGGGGAGAGGACACAGCGTAGGCAATGAGATCTGATGTGACGCACATCACTGTCAAGGTGAGCAGCAGACCAGGATCTTGGGCATGTTTTCACTGAAAGAAGCCCTGCTGCCAAAGCTGTGGGTCTCCTTTCTGGTGCTCTGTGAATGCTGTGGACCTTGCTACACTAGAGAGCATGTACATAAGACCCTGAGGTCTCCCATTGTGCCAGGTGCTTTACAGGCAGGGAATGAGAGCAACTCCCAGGGAACTTGGGCTCCAAACAGACAAAGTGATAAAGAGCAAGGAGAAAACAAGGCACAGAGAGGAGCAGAGGCTGCCCAAGATGGCAGCCTGCTAAGCTGGTATCCTCCCTGCTAGCTGCCCCCACCCACCACCTTTGTCCCTTCCTTTAGCTTGCAATGGAGAAGTCCCTTTTCTTTTCTGCGCCTGTTTCCTTGTCTTGGAGAATGCACCTTTACCTTTACCCGCTGCATCAAACGTCAATCTGTTGAATTTGAGCAGGGGTGGGAGAGGGGTGCAAAGGGCTGTACCCAACCAGAGAAAAGGGACTTGCAAGCATATCTTCTTTTTAGGCTTGTCAGAATTCAGTTAAAATATATATATTTATATTATTACAGAAATATTTTTAATAAGTTTGACAGATAATATCCATGTTTATTTCTAAGCATTTATTTCAACTCTTATTTGTTTTGAATTTTCAGGATTGTGCTGCTTTAATTACTCACTGAGACAAACATGTACTGTAGAAGTGCCGCCAGCTGAGCGGCAGAGCTGTCATCAGTCCCGGCTCTGCTCCCTGTCCATAGCTCCCTTGTCCGCTTTGTTGCTTCCTCTTCCTTTGCTCCCAGTCCCCTGGGGTTCCTGGGAGCTGCCGTCCAAGCTAGTCAGCATGGTTTTGCAGGACTGTTCCCTGTCATCACACATTCCATCAACTTTATTTTTTTTTAATGTCCCCTTTTCTATACATTTTGATTAACGATGGAAATATTTTTTCGTCAGTCTGTGAGTGTGAGGTGAAATTGTTGTTTGTCAACGTTTACTGATTTTTAAAAATCAATTCCTGCCAAGCCTACTTACTTTACAGTTCTAACGTCCAGTGCCTTGCCCTTCTCCAAGCACCAGATGCTACGTCTGCTCTGGGGTGGATTGGCAGGGGGGGAGGCACCCTTCGATGACTTCAGCTGCAGCCAGTCAAGGTCCATGTGTGTTCTGGTTGAGTGATTGCCACTGGGAGGTTGGCTACCTGCATTTCAAGGAAGTAAAGGCAAATCCTGTGAACAGTGGTAGACTAGTGATGGAAAACTGAAAGTCCTGTGGGCGTGCCAGAGGTTGGGGGGGCCTCTGGTTGTTGCTGAGAGAGAGCAAGGTACCTCTTGCATTGCCTTGGTATAGAACTTGGGACATCTTTAAGTGATGTGCAAAAGAAAACAAGGAAGCCCATGTTTCATAGTTTCATAGTAGTTTGGTGTCGGAAGGGACAGATCTTCTAGTCTGACCCCCCCGCCACTGGCAGGAGCACATGCTGGGATCACACGACCCCAGGCAGGTGTTTGTCCAACCTCTTTTTGAATTTACCCAAGGTAGGAGCGAGGACCACTTCCCTAGGAAGTTGGTTCCAGATCCTAGCCACCCTAACAGTGAAATACTGCCTCCTAATCTCTAACCTGAACCTGTTCTCCAGCAGTTTCTGGCCATTGTTCCTCGCCACCCCAGGTGCTGCTGGGGGGAATAGGACCCTTCCTATTTGCTGCTGATCTCCCCTAACGAGTTTGTAGGCAGCCACCAAATCCCCCCTCAGCCTCCGCTTGCTGGGGCTGACCAGGTTCAGGTCCCTCAGCCTCTCCTCATAGGGCCTGCCCTGTTGCCCTCCAACCAAGCGAGTGAACCTCCTCTGAACCCTCTTAAGGCAGGCCACATTTCTCTTAAAGTGCGGTGCCCAGAACTGGATGCACTACTCCAATTGTGGCCTGACCAATGTCATGTAGAGGGGGAGTATCGTCTCTCTGGACCGGCTTGAGATGCATCTTTGGATGCATGACAAGGTGCGGTTGGCTTTGCTGGCTGCGGTCTGGCATTGGCAATTCATGTTCATCTTGAAGTCAATAATGACTCCAAGATCCCTTTCCGCCTCTGTGCTCTCAAGGGGCGAGTTCCTCAGCGTGTATGTATGCTGTGGATTCCTTCTCCCCAGGTGCAGCACCCTGCATTTGTCTACATTGAACCCCATCCTATTACCATCTGCCCACCTCTGTAGTCTGTCTAAATCTAATTGCAGCCTCTCTCTCCCTTCGAGCGTGCCTACCTCTCCCCTCATCTTGGTGTCATCAGCAAACTTGGACAACGTGTTTTCCATGCCCTCATCTAAGTCGCTGATGAAGATGTTGAACAGTGTAGGCCCCAGGACCAAGCCCTGGGGGACCCCACTGTTCACATCCTGCCAGGTCGAGTATGACCTGTCTACCACCACTCTCTGGGTGTGCCCCATCAGCCAATTTTTGACCCATTCAACTGTGTAGGCATCAGTGCCACAGTCACTCAGTTTATTAAAGAGAATGGGGTGAGAGACAGTGTCAAAGGCCTTCTTAAAGTCCAGAAAGACTACGTCCACGGCGACACAACCCATGTTGATTTCCTCTGGGCATGATCTCCCCTGCTGGCCCTTCACAGATGTGCTCCTTAATGATTTTTTCAAGGATTTTCCCCAAGACCAATGTGAGGCTTACGGGCCTATAGTTCCCTGGGCCCTCCTTCCTCCCTTTCTTATAGATGGGGACCACATTAGCTAGTTTCCAATCTCCGGTCACCTGGCCCGTGGACCACGATTGCTCGTACAGCCAGGCCAGGGGCACAGCAATGACCCCTGCCAGCTCCCTCAATACCCATGGGTGGAGGGCATCAGGGCCCGCAGATTTAAAAACATCCAGCCCTTCCAGAAGATCCCTAACTACATCTGCGCAGACCCAAGACCTGGCAGTGCTATCCCCAAGATTGCCCCTACCTGTGGTGGGCGAGCTGTCCTGGTGCCTGTCCAAGAAGACAGAGGCAAAGAACTTGTTAAAAATTTTGGCTTTCTCATCTGGCGTAGCCACAAGATTACCATTTGAGTCTAGCAGGGGCCCTACATTACCCGGTGCCCTTTTCTTACTCCCAATATATTTGAAGAAGGACTTTTTGTTGTCCTTAATCCTGGTTGCTAGCTTGAGTTCCACCCCCTCCTTGGCCTTCATAATGGCCCTCCTACACTCACGGGCCAAGGAGGAGTATTCCCCTTTGGTGATAGCCCCTCCCTTCCACCAGGTGTATGCCTCCCTTTTGGCCCTCAGGCATTCTCGAATGCCTTTGCTGAGCCATGGGGGTTTCGGAGCACTCTTACCCCCCTTCTTTCTCTCAGGGACTGTCACACTCAGCCTGGAGGATCGTCCCTTTAAGGTATGACCATCCCTCATGGACTCCCATATCTTCTACCCTTTGGGCTCTCAGTGCCTCCCCCACTGATCTCCTAAATTCATTGAAGTTGGCCCTTCTGAAGTCGGGGGCTTTAGTCTTGGTATAAGCCCTCAACACCCTGCGCTGGATGGTGAATTCCAGCAGGCGATGATCACTGTCACCCAGGTGGTCAAGGACCTGCAGTCCCCTCACCAGGTTGGACCCAGTGGCCAAGACCAGGTCCAGCAAGGCATCACCCCTAGTGGGGCTGTGCACCTCCTGGACTTAGTGGACTTTATTTTTCCTTCCCTTTATGGTGCATGAAGGAGATCTGGGAAAAGGTTTTTCTTAATCTGTGGCTTTAAAAGAAAATTCTTTGCCCATGTTTTACCAGATGTTCCCTAAACAATATTGTTAGCCTCTGAGGAGGCTAACACAAATGTGCTGAATGATCGCAACTTTTCATTTTAGCCCATCACTAATCAAAGCTTGCTCTCTTCCATGGAACCGTTTTTGGCACACTAGGGTTTTGTAATGCTTAATTAATTTCTGCAAAGCACTTTTAAGACCCTGGGATAAGAGTCTTGAGAGGAGTAGAGGGTATTATTGATAAAAATAATTGCTTCCCATCACCCCTAAATGGCCACGTAATTCAAAGCAATCATTTGGTTTTTAAATACTCTCTTCACTCTCTTAATCTAAATTTACACTCCTGTTGCTGGTTTGGGATTTGCTATTTTCAGCTTCTGGCCTTTAAAGCCAACTCTAACCTGTTGGGGAAGAGCTGTTGCAAAATGGCTTGCTTTTTGTTTTGATTTGTGTTTGGAAAACTCCTTCCTGGTCCCAGAGCTCCAAAGTAGCCAAAGAAAAATAAAAATGTAAGCTTCTCTACAGAGAATTGGTAAGGGCCTTTCATGGACCAATTCCAAATTAATGCAAGTATATGGAGAGACGGGAGGAATCATGCTTCAGCTGTGCCCCCAGCACTACAGACATGGTGTGATAGGCCTTGCCTGCTCAAGGAAGCTCTGCTGATTTTAAGTGTGCCAGGGGGACTCTGAAAAAAACTTTCTCAGTTGGACCAGGCTATGCTGGGAGCAACGATAGGGCATCCTATCCCAACTGACAAAGCTGGGCCAGCAGAAGTCCATAGGAAGTGCAGCTCTGGAATCTGTGGTAAGAGTGATTTAAAAGGGGCTTAACCGGGTATGCTCTTAACCATATTGAATTGAAAATAAAACCCACTGTCTCCAGGGCTGGAGACCCAATGGATTCGGAGCAGCCTGTGATAACTTATGATGGCCCAGCAGGCACAGGATTCATAATGTTTGCTTTGTATATCTAGGGCATGATTTTGCTGCAGCTGGTCAAGAAATGCCCCAAGAAGTCCTGTCTGATTCTGCCTCCAGTTGCTTGAAGGACAGAGCAGTTTATTCTGAAGCCCTGACTCAGGTTCCAGCTTTTACCAGCATAGATTTGCATCCAGCCTCTTAAAATTTCTGAGCCTCTGATTTGTGTGAGGGGGAAGGGGGTCAAAAGTCTCAGGTGGGGTTGAATGTGGGTAAATCTCAGCTAGTGGGCTTGGGAGGCAGAGACCGTCAGGCCTGGTCAGCAGACCCCAGGGACTTG